AACGCATGTGAATATTCAATAAAAAATACACAAAAACTATCACAATGCCTGATTGCTAGAAGAGAAGGGCTGTTGTCGAAGAGGTGTTGCTCTCCGTTCAAGTGCGTGCCTTCTCTGTTCACATTCGATAGAACACAATTCTCGTAAGGAGGTCGTGGATGGGCCATCGCCGCAGAATACGTGAGAGCTTTCCCACCCGCGGCACAATGCAGTCGACAGTAATCAAGCACTCTTGCATTGCACAAACTGCTTCAATTTTCGACTTCGCAATTTCCGGCGTTCCTCTTTCGGCTGGTGTGCCGCCCGAATGTTGCAATCTAAGGGACAGAACTTCTAGGAGATCATCCTTCATCGTAGATTTTCTCATGTAATGGTTGAGAAAGAATCGTAATTTTCTTTAACATGTTTTGATGTTTCTAAAGATAAGAACTTTTTCTAAACCTATATATCTAAATTTATTTAATTTTTTCGTAAATAAATACTATTTTTTTATTGTAAGCATGTTTATCAAACAATCAATTTATCCTTTGGATAAACCAAAAATTACTTTTGAAAATATTTCAGCTTTTTTCAGAAACGACTCCAGGTTCTTCCTTGATTTTTATTTTCAAAGCAACGGCGTTACGCTAATTTATAAAACTTATATCGAAAGTATATTATCGTAGGATAAACTAAGGATAGTCATGCATAAGAAAATGTAAAACAGTTTTGTGAAAGTGTGAGAAAACGTGTGTGTGGATGTTTTACCTTCCGGAGAATCTTCATTAGTTCGTTATCAGTTCTAACTAATTCAAAATGTTTGTGTTTTCGAGGCAACTGGAGTATTAAAAACAGAAAAAAATATTTATCATTTTTAATGTGACGGATACTTTTGTCTAAGATTATTAATATGGACATATTTAGTTTTGGTAACATGAATATATGATATTAACGGACGTTATCAATTTTGTATCAATCCTCAAAAGTGATTACCTTTTTTCTACGGAAAGGATATTCACTGCAAACTCTTTATTTCAAAGCTCTTCATCTAAACTCGATTGTCAGTTTAAATGTCTAGATTACAATATAAAATAATTACTTATTATTTAAAAATTAAAATTACTTTCACTGAAACAATCAACTACATACTTCAATGTGAGACCTCAACTATTCAATTACAAGGATTCTCATTTCTTTAAATTTTACTCGAATATGACACAGAGCTCACTACAAAATCAGCAAATAATACAATATTACTACTTGAAACGGACCTAATATGAAATAATTTTCGCTTTTCTGATTCCGAACCTGTAAACCTAATCATGTTTTCAATCATATATTTAGTTGACGTCTTCCTCCCCTGGTATTTACCTAGATTTTTCTCCCCGCCCCCTTCCCCGTGAATTTTTCTCCCAGCAGAACAGAAATAAAATATTCTATTCTTCTTCTTTTCTTTTCATTGGCCTAAATGACACTTGTCATTGACAATTGTTACTGCAGTGAAACTTCTTTGAAAGACCACTCCTCCCAACGACAGATTTTTCTTGGAACGAACACTAAATCCCTTATAAGTAAATCGAACGCCTGTCAACAGCCTACCCCTCTCACCGATCAGCCTCTTAGTAGCAATTCTCTTAATTCAATTTTTAAGAGACCACTTAAAGGGAAATTTTAATAATCTTACCGAATTTTCAGTACTTAACAAATTTGTAGTTTTCAGTAGTTAAATTTATAATCGGGATCCTCGAGAGAATCTCGGGAACTAGCATTCCGTGGTGCGATTCCTGTTTCAATTCGACAATTAAAATGGAATTGTTACCACGTTAAAGAATTAAGCAGGAACACCAACACACACATCTTTACGTACACATTATTTTTTGTCTACTAATATTTTAGACATTGGTTACATTTTTGAGACACTGACGGTGAGATAAATAATAGTATTATATGTAATAAAAAGTATATGTATTATAGGTTGTTTGTAATATCACAAACATGTGAATTTACACCTTTTAGAAAATTAAAAAAAAGACTTTTTTGTAAATCTGTAACTGGCTTGATAATTGGTTTCAAAAGAAATGTTTCATATAAAAATTGTAGGAAATTTTATTCACTCAAACAAATTTTATTCATTCAAGACATTGAATTTAATCATTTTTCTACAGAACTTTGTATTTAAGAGTTATAGAGTAAACCCCGATAAAGTCAGAAAAAATTGTTTTTTTGGGCCTCCTGGAGTTAGCACAGGTTAACTAGGAGATCGAAAACGTGGGGCTTCAAAAAGAGTCTGAGTTCGTATAACATATCCAAAGAAAAAGTTCTTATAATCTCTTTGCAGACAAGCCCTCTTTTTCATTACCTACCAACTGGACTAAAATTAAAATACAAGGAAATATGTAAGAAATGCGCATCAATAAGAAAAATGTAAAAAATATATAATAGGGATACCCAAATATGTAAAAAGGAAATATCTAAAATAAAATTGTTTTAATTCATTGAGAATGTTATTCTCTAAATACTGAATGTATGTATATTGCATCTATAAAAATATATATTTACATTAAAATACGTTCTCTAGTGATGATGGTAAACTATCGATGTCGGTAATTTAGAAGATTGGATAGCATATCATGAATTGCTGCGAATGAATACACCTAAATTTATGTTCATGGAATATTATAAGACGATAATTTAATGATGTGAATTAATACAGAAGTATGGAGTGTATTTGGGAAAGGACAAATGATTCTGATTCACTACCGTTCAACATTGTTGTATTTGGTTCCGTCATTGTGGTTTATAGTCACATTCTCGTGGGTCGGCTCAATAGAATGAAATATTTATCTACTAGATCGATTACTCAAAGACTAATTACTTCCCTCAGCTTATATTATAGCGACTGCGAAAATGGCTGTGACATGTCGAAAATCTTTATTTCAAAGAAGCTGAGTTACAATAATTAAAATTATAAAATTAACTCCAGCCATTTAATACGAAAATAATACAATGGGAGTATAAAAATATATGGCACATTCAAGAATCATTTTCTCATGATTTTGCAAGTAATACGACCATTGTATATTGTAATGCGTAAAACATTCCATTGGACTTGAGAAATTGAAGAAACACATTCATGATTTACGAATATATGTAATGATGTCTGCCATGTTGAGGCACCAGTAGTCCTGACGAGCATGTCCTTATGGCAGACCTACAATAGGTATTAATTTTACCTGAAACTTCTCCATTCTGTAGAACTTTGGAGATACGAATGTGTGTGAGGAGGGAAGAGGGCGGCGGCCGCGATGGACTTGCAGGGCGCGCCCTCTAGCGGCGCCAACACCTCTACCAGAGGGCGGTCCTTTACTCATAAGTAACTAAACTATAGCTTCTGGCAGGATGGGCAGGAGGCCATGCGCGTAAGACTTGGACAAGAACCAGGAGCAGAGAATTGAAAAGAAATAGGAATAGAATGACAATAGAAAACATAATATGGCACATTCAAGGATCATTTTGAGTTGTGATTTCCCTTTAAGGAACTTGGATACTGTAATGAGGAAAACATTCACTGTACTTGCCAATTGAAAGAAACCCATTCTTGATCGACGAAGCCGCATGTATGATAGCGGCAGAAAGGCTGGGGTGTCTATTCACCAGCAATCCGGACGTGAATCTTGAGGCAAAGCGTAGGTATTAATTTTATCTGGAACTTCTCCACTCGGGAGGACCTTGGAGATTCGAGTGAGTGTGTGTGTGTGTGTGTGGGGGGGCGCTGGTGGTGGCAGCGAAGAGCTTGCAGAGGGCGCGTACTTCAGGTGCACCAACACCTCCTCCAGCGACCGACCTTTTATCTCAGGCAGTATGAGCAGCAGGCCAAGCGAAAAAAAAAGAAAAACGCAGGGCGCAACCAAGATCCAGGAGTAGAAAATGTAATAGAAATGGGAATAGAAAATGTAATGTCACATATTCAAGGATCATTTCGAAGTGTGATCTTTTAAGTAGCTGAACCTTGTATACTGTAATGTGGAAACAATTCACTGCACTTGAGAATTTATAGAAACACTTTCGTGATCGATGAAAGCACATGCACGTTGGTGGCAAAATGTCTGGCGTGTTGAGTGACCAGCAGTCCTGACGGAAACGTCTTTGGGCGGTGCGTCGTTATTCATTTTATCTGGAACTTGTCCACCCCGGAGGTGCGCGGGGATTCGCGCGAGTGCGTGAGGGGCGTGGCGGCGCCGGCGGCGGCGAAGTGCTTGCCGGGCGCGCCCTCCAGCTGGGCCAGCACCTCCTCCAGCGGCCGGTCCTTGGTCTCGGGCAGCAGCAGCAGGATGAGCAGCAGGCCCAGCACGCAGGACGCGGCGAAGAACCAGAAGCACACGTCGGCTCCCCAGGCGTCGACCGCCGCCGGGAAGTAGCGGCTGACGGCGAAGGAGGCCAGCCCGGCCAGCGGGCCGTTGAGCGTGAGCGCCGCCGCCACCAGCTCGGGCCGGAACAGCTCCGTCACCACCACCAGCGGCAGCGAGCCCAGGCCCAGGTTGAAGGCCAGCATGTGCGCGACGAGCGCCACCAGCGGCAGCCAGGCCAGCGCGGCGCGCGGCGCGTGGAAGTACAGCCCGGCCAGCGCCAGGCTGAGCGCCATTGCGGCGTCATGATGTGAAGTGGTGAGTTGTAGTGGATGGGAAGGAGTGTAGTGTAGTAAAGGGAGTGCAGTTAGTGAGTGTTAGGTGTTAAGTGTTATGTAAGACTAGAATGAAATTTAGAGTTAAATTAGAAATAATATTGAACTTGATTATATGTCGACCCCAATTCTATAGTAAAGCCCAATTAAATGTTTCGATAATTTTAGTAATTCTAATTCTAATTGTTATCATGTGTTGCCACGAGCATTAGCTCAAGCGCAAACTTAATATTATCTATCTACTATCATCTTTCGTGCCGGTATTGGGAGCAAACTGATGCTGTCACTATTTGTTTGTCAGGATACACAGTTAAAATTGTTGGGTATCCAATTCGCGTTGCTATATTCATTGCACGTTCTGGCGATAAGTCGTTAACAGCAAAGATAATGGCTAGGTAAGTTGTTCACTCAAATAGAAGACGCAATGGCAGATGGTCAGCTGTGTTGCTTCATTAAAGGAATTGTTCAATCACAAAGCGTGCTACTGTTACAGTATTGAGCAAAAAAGGGATCACCGTGCAAACCCTTCCTGGAAGAATTGTATCAGTTATTCTGAACGACCCATTATAAAATAAGGTCCTGTAAACTGATGATCTCAGCACCAGCAATAAACGCAGCCGGCACAGGGGTGGCATAGTAATGAGGAAAAGAGACGGGGGATCTTAGTGCGAAAGAGGGGAAAATTGAAGAGCGCCATTATTTTATACTAGCTTTGGTTATGCTCGCGTGTGTGCGGTTCAGTTCTCTACTGTGTGTTCTCCCACGCCGATTTGTTTTTGCTACTGCTGGTGTTTGTGGATGTGATGCAGAAATGACATGACACCTAATGCTACTCACAGTAAAGAGAACGCATACTCTCCTCCCATCACCAGCTTCAAGTAAACTCAGCTTTTCTATTGAAGCGATGACTGTGTACACCTCCTGTCTTATATAAATGAAACTTTGGGAACGTAATAGCATATTTCTAAGGCCACTAGCCCGTTGGAGGAGTTTCGCAAATGATTAAAAATATTTCTTTTATCAGACGAGAGGTTGTACAAGTACCAAATATAGTGCATCTTAATCAAAATATCCAAATATAGTAAACTACCATCTTGCACTGTTGTATGGCAGGTACACGTTCGGCGCGGAAATCGTGTACGTGCAAAGCATGGATTAGGGTAGTTTCCTGCAAACAGACGGTAATGTCAGAAATATGATGTATGTAATAATAACGTGAAATGGTTCCACCACGCTCTAGCGCAAAAAACTTGATCAACTTCGCCAGTCTACTGCCCTTGAGAAGTTTATAACATTAGGTTCCGAACCTCACGTACTGTTTATGAACCTGAAAGTGGAGACGGATGAGACTCACCTCGCCACGATAGAGCGGGCGAAGCAAACAACCGGCCGGAGGCGCGCGGCCGGCGCGGCGCGCGCGGCCGTGCAGCGCGCGGCGCGCGGCGGCGGCAAGCGCCACGGGGCGACGCGGGCGGCGTGCGAGCAGCGCGGCCGCCCGGCTCGCCGGCCTGGCGCGCCCCAGCGATCGCGGCACGACGCCGAAGAGCGGGCCCGCGGGCACCGTCGCCAGGCAGAAGCCCGCCGCAGCCACGCCCGACCCCGCCGCGCTCACGCGCCCCCTCCAGCAAGCTGCGGCAGCGCCCGCGCGGGCCCACCCACCGCCAACGCGTACGACACCACACCAGGTCGCTGCAACGCACGATGCGGCAGCGAATACAGAGAGCGAACTTCCCCCCCCCCCTAAGCC